GGGAGACGCGTGATATAACAGCTCCAGCGTGAGTGAAACCTAACCTGTGCTGCGCCAGGATATGATGGGCGGGGCGGGGCATTTTCGGCGAGTTTTTTTTATTCCGGCCCGAAAATTTTCGGTGGCCGAAATTTCGGTGCACCCCTAGTTACTATAATTGAAGCCGTTTAGCTTGACCTGACCAAAACCATGAGTTGGAGATAAGCATTGTATAAGTTTCAGTAGTACAGACATTAACATTTCACACAGCTGATTATCTGAATATATTTGTCTTTATCCAGGTGAACACCAGCAGCCCAATTTCCCAGGTCTCACAAGAGGTCTAGTAGCTGTCCTGCTCTACTGGGATGGAAAGCTTTGTGTGTCTAACTCTCTGCGCACACTCATCCAGTCACGCCATGGCAAGACCTTCACCCTGGATCTAAGGTAAGAACTGGACAATGAGCATGCAATGACAAGTGCTTTAAAACGGTCCCCTTGATGAACATGTTACTGTTCTATTGTTTTTAAAACATTTATTGTGCATCTATTTGTGTTCTCACTTAGTGGCGAGCTAGTGGCTTTGACAACACGTTTTACAGATGAACTGATGAGCCAGGGTCTGACCAAACGTATTCTAACGTTGGTCTCCGAGATCAGTGTGACGCGTGAGTTTGAACGGCTGCAGAAGGAGCGCGGCCTGGGCAATGAAAAGCACAGGAAGGAGGTGGGAGAAAAGTTTTTGTTGTACTTTGAAACAAAGATAATCTTCAGATTATATTAGTTTTTAGTCATGCCAGTGCAACACCAGTAGCTTTCTGGTAGTAACTGAAGTAGAAACATGTAGTGGAGGATTACACAGAGAGGAATATGGACAACATCTAATGCTCTCTCTACTGGCTTCAGGTTTCTGACCTCATCAAAGAATGCAGACAGGCACTGGCAGACAGCCTGTTTTCATGGACGTGCCAATCACCTTTGACTAAAGATGACACACTGGCTCTCATTGGCCACCTGGAGACAGTGACAGCTCAAGCTGATGGCTCACTGGACAGTGTGAACCTGGCTCTGGTCATGGCACTGCTATACTGCTTGGATGTTAGCTTTGTAGAGCAGGGAACTGAAGATAGAGAAGGTGAGAAGATGTTACTGACATTTTTAACTATGTTATAGGTGCAATATTTTTACATTTCATTAGTTACTTGTTAAATTAACTAAACACTTCACTATGTGCTGCTATGCACAAGACTGTTGTTAGTTTCATTGTTTTTCTTTGACTGGGGTGAAGGACCATCTCTGTGTTGTGTTTCTGTAGATCTTCTCCAGGCACTGCCGTTACTCACAGAGAGACAGTATGTGTCTGCAGTGCACAGTCGTTTGATGGACAACCAGCCATGGAAGCTTCCAGGCCTTCAGGCTGTGTGTCGGCTGGCCTGGGCTCTGTCTCTGAGGGTTCTTTCCCAGCTACCACAAGGATCTGGTAAGGACGACTTCTTGGACATGCATTAAATCTCTCTTATCCCTCTTTGAAGAAAGCCTTTTTGTACAAATATGAGTTCTCCAAGATGGTAGTCATTTAAATGTAGTTTATTTGTATTTTTGCATTGTGCAGCCCTGGTTGAATTCACTGAGGCAGATGAGGCTCTGGCTGACCAGGCTTTGCTGGGAGATGTGTTTTTGTTCATGAAGGAGGGCATGCTGGGATGCGAGAGTTTTTCCCAGGAAGAGTTTTACATCCGCCGCCTCCATTCTCTTATTACTGACTTCCTGGCACTCATGCCAATGAAAGTGAGAGATTTTTACTGAAGTAAATTGTATCAAGACATTCTCCAGTTACTTTGCATCTTTCATGCTTGCCTGAGTTAATATATGTGTCCTTGCTGTTTTTACAGGTGAAGCAGCTTCGTAACCGTGCTGATGAGGACGCCCGTCTGGTGCACATGTCCCTACAGATGGACAGCGAGCTTCCATCATCGTTGCGCAAGGACTTAGACCATCTCCTAATTCTCGTCAGTGATTTTTACAAACACATGCGCATGTACATACACATATCAGCATATTTGCATTACGTCACGTTTAATGTTTAATGAACAGAGACGTCTCGGTTGACGTTTCTGTGTAGTATGGGGCTAGCCCAACCGAGGTGATAAAAATGTATTGGCCTGGTGGGTTCAGGGTCTTCCATCTTACATCTGCCTGCGAGCATGGTGGAGGTGCAAGATATCTGAGCGTGTAATGATAATTTTACCTGTGATCCTTTGAATAAATCAGCATTGTTTTGAAGTTACTTGGACTGCCTTGTCTCTCAGAGTTAGCATGGTAAGACGGACTGTACCCTACAACAGTAAAGACTAAGGGCATGCAGTGTGCGAAATACAAGAGGCCTCAAGGGGTCTCAGACCCCATGAAAATCTCAAAATGAAATTTCAGGGGATCTCAGAAATGTGCCTTATATTTTATCTACACAATATTATGTATTTGCATGTAACTTTATAAATGTTTATTTTTAAAATACAATAAAATATACTGCAATCACTGCATTAATGGAATTGTACCAAAAGTGATCCTTTACCAGAAATAGGTTATGATCAGCAGGAGCACGCGATGCATCTAACGCACGCTGTTAGACGCATCGCCCACTTTATCTACAGTACAACTACAGCTGTTTTTGTAATGGGCTCTGTCCTCAGTGTGTTAGATCCAGTTCTTTTGTTGAAAGCGCAAGAAGTGAAGAGAGAAGAGGACTGTATAAAATTAACAGAAAATTTAATCGAAGTCTAGTCACATGTCCAGTAATACAGCGCTGGGCTCAGAGGGGACAGAGTTTCCGCAAGAACCCTGTCATCAAAGAGGGCCAAACCATTTATTTTCGTGGGAGGGAACCGCCCCGGACAGAGGTTGGCCTTACACGTATCCTAATGCTGAGCAGGTCAACCCCCGTTCACATCAGTTCACATCAGCTTACTGAATATGCAAATCAACTGGTGTGTGGGAATGTTGTAATGTCAGACGGCAGCTAACAAAACACAAATATATAGTAATCTTCAAAGGGCAGACATCCTGTCTATAAAAACCCTAATAAACAAACAGTAAATACCGGGCATTTGGTGAACTTCAAAGTGCAGACCTCCTGCAGACACATTCTTTTAACAGACAAACAGGAGATACTAAGCAGTTTTAACAGTCATCAATGCAATAATGATACATATAAGTAAGGAATAAAAACATAGGAAAAAAAACTTAAGTTCATATGACTCAAATATTACAAATTTGGCTTTAGTGTTTGCGTGTGAATGTGCATGTTAACATGCACATGCATTGATCAATCAGCTGGAGACTGGAATTGTCCGGTTGTTAGATTAATCAGCCTTGACAAATGAACAGCTGATCAGTCTGAGATATCCAATTTTAAATTTTGCAATCCAACTTTGTTTTGTTTACCACTCAGCTGGCAAAGTGGTTGTAGGTTGTCTTGAATTGTTAGTCTGAAAATTACCAGCTGCCGCATAATTAATAGTACAACTATCATTGTGGGGCACTATCACTCCAAAAATACAAAAAATTATTTTTTATTTTTTAGTAAAAATCCATTTTAATTCAACTTTAACTTTGACACTGTGAGCTATGTTTCCTTGAAAAGCCACATGTAAAGTGTATTTCAAGTCCTTTCTTTTTCCACTGCTGTGTCACCTAATCAAATCTAATCTGCCTGTTCTTGCTACAGTCACTCCCTCTCCCACACAGCGCAGGAGCTGCCGCATCACAGGAGCACAAAGATCTCATTTCTGATGCTGCCTTCACTGATCACAGCCTGCCATGTTAGTTTAAACAGAAAAAAAAGGTTGTCTCTGCTCAAATTTAGGTACTTTCTGCCTGCTTGGATTTGAAAGCTTGTGACACTGATTGGAAGAATGACATAGTCTAGTTTGACCTCTTCTCTAGTGATAGCAGTGGGTGCAGCAAGCATGACAAGTGCACTAGCTAACCATAGCCTCAGTTTGTGCTTGTCACACTTAGCTGCTAGTGAAATTATCCTTAGTAGTTCAGATAAAAAGAACAAATTCTGTTAATGAACAAGAGCTATTACTTCACAGAGGCCACAAACATAACGCAAGAGCCACTAACTGCTGTATTCAGTGTTTAACAAGATATTTAGGGCTGACAAATGTTAATTGTCATAAAACGCAAGACTATGGCTGTCTACTGATACTTAGAGAAGAGCTGGCTAGTGCAGCTAAAAGACAGACATCCTCTCTCTTAAAGGGTAAACATGTTGTCATGATTAGCTTCTTATCTCTGGGCGGCCATGACAGGTGTCACTCAGTCGCTGTTTCATGTTTGTCTGAGCAGTGATTACTGGTGGGCTCCTAATCTGTTTCACCTGTGCCTGTTATCTACCTTTATATTCTTTCCTGTCAGTCCTTCTTTCCTCGCTTGTGCCTGGTGCCGTTCAAATACATGGAGGAGATGCGCGATGAGGCAGCACTTTGCTGTTCCTCTCGGTGGATCGTGTAATCCTCACAAACTGTATGCGATGCAAATAGTGTGTTGCTGTCCCTATATATATCGCAAATAAAATGCTTTTCGCAAATCTGGACTTTCAATCAAAACATTTTTGACAGTCTGGACATTTTTGTCCAGAAGGATCTTCTTTATTGAGAACATTTGTTTTAATATTGGATTCGAACAGTAAAAGGGTTTGTAATACATACCAGCTGACAAATGGATTTCATGTACAAGTAAAGGTAAGACCATAAACTTTTATTATTTCTAGTTAGAAATAAGCTCAA